AGGGGTTCCTAAGTATTGTGCGTTTTGGCAGCGAACATATCTGTTACTCATGCTCAAAATGAGAGGCACTGTGTTATATTTTTGGAAAATTAGTTGTTTATTTCTTAGTATCAGATCAATTGCAGCATTAAATTAACAGTGAATTATCTGACAGAAGTAAGTCTACCTGGGTAGCCTGGGGCTGAGTTGCAAAAACACATGTGAATATTGGCCTGAATGTTTAATTTTTTCTTTAAGTAAACCAACTATTAAAATGTTGCCTTATGTTAAAAACTGAGCCTCTTTTGAATAAATGTAATACACCTAACAAGTGAATGCCATTTGATAATTATCTTAGAAGTAAGGAAAACATTTTTTAAAATTAGGTTAAAAATATTGTTCCAATAAATTCAGTGGCTCTTTTTGATACCAATGTAAAATCATTTTGAAATGGATTCTTCCCAGGCAATAGTTAAAAAAAAAAAAGTAATTTCAAGTGGTGAAGCCCTAGGAGAAAATTGTTTTAAAATAATCCTAACCTTTAAACATTTACAAATAACTGTTTCTTAAAAATAACAACAGCAGGTCAGGCTGGTTTAAAATTCTAGAGAATTTGATTTTCTGAGATAGAGGGCTTAATGTATAGATATCCATATCCTTACCATTTTACAAAGTCTTGGACCAGCTTATCTTAATTTCTTGTTAAAGAACATGAAGTAAATTTACTGTCTGAATAAATTTGTGATGGCTTAAACATTCAGATTTTTTACTGGGGTTTTGGATTGAAGTAAAATAATTATCATCTTTCTAGAGATACTCCTACTGACTTCCTAGAAAACATTATCCATTACTGGAGACTTTATTTCCAACAATCTCATTCCCAAAAGTCCTAAGCCCTGAAGTTCTTCCCAATGGCCTGGCATCCTGGGAATTCACTTGATCTTCTGGGCAGAGACATTTCAAACTCGGGGAACACATGATGGGAATTTAGTTTCATGTGTCCCAAAGATATGTAATTCTCTTTGGAGGTTTTACTTGATAATAGCTATGCCCCAGAAAACCATCTTGTTTAACCAATGTGATAAGTTGACAATGTAGTTTTTCTCTCTGATTATAATGTACTCTGTGTAGTCAATACACTAGTACCATGTGAGTGTAATTTCCTCTTTTATTTTATCTCCAATGCACTGTATTATAAATAAACAGTTAAAAAAAACACCAAACAAATCTGTTGCATCTCCTTTTAAGATTGTACCACTGTAGACACTTGTTCTAGTAAAGTAGAATTGGGCGCATTTGATTGCATTTAAATTTTTCATGCTTCAGCAGTTTGGCTGGGAGCACAGTAAAGAAAAATCCCATGAGCGAGGATAGTTTAGAATAATAGAACTTGATTTTGTGTATTATAGCGGCAACATTTGCGCTGCTTTAGTTAGGGTTGTGTCAGCACTTCCATTATAAACCCCTGTTTTCAGGGGGTATAACTAGGGAGATTTTTTTTAATACAAATTAAAAAAAAACAATTCATTTGAATGATTTTTAAGTTATAATAGTGCAAAAATAAAACAAAGTAAAGTCACATAGGAATTGACCATTTTCACAAGGATTTTGATTCTTTTGCTTACTAGTTTTATATGACAGCAGCTAAAGTAAGCTACAGTTCTAATACACAGGGCGGGGGGTGTAAAAATTTTTGTAATGAAAAATTACTAAATGAGCATTAAAAATAAAAGCGAGCATCCCAGGTGACATTTTAAAACATTAACACCAAGTGCATATTTGATTTATGAGTTTCTAAAGGAGAGTAGCCATGGTGCAGTGGTTATAATGAAGGCATTACCAAAAGTCAAGTATCTTTGCAGCTTCCAGAATAGTTTAGTTGGTCTAGTAAAATGTTTTAAAAAAGGAAAGCTAAAGTAAAGAAATGAATGAGGATGTAATCAGTAAGTTGAAGGATTCTTTAATAAAGTAATTGTGTAAAAAGTAATCAGTAAATTGAATCTAATAATCAGGAAATTTAAGACTTACTTAATAAACTTTGCTTTAAAAAGTATGTGTACACATTTTCCTTTTAAAAATACAACAAAACTACCAAACTACAACAATTAAAAACCAATCTGAAAGAAGCCAACAATTTTATCAAAAGGAAATGCCTGCAGGGGAACAATACCGCAAAATCACCTTTTTCTCTGCTAGCAACGCGTTGAGAACTGTGGTAGAGTAAACTCAAGAAATTAAATAAAATATGATACGGTAAAGTATGCTCCTTGGAACAAAAATGTTAGTTCCTTAGGTAAAGGGAAGGATTTTGAAGTTGAGTATGCTTTCCTTGGTTGTTAACCATTATTGCCCTAACATTCCCCCTCTCCTTGTCCCCGAACGATGGTGTGAACTGAGGATGAACAGTCAAATTTAATATTGCTTTTTTTTTTTTTGGCAGCCTATCTTTTATTTGCAACCTTGATAGACATTTGTATTTGTAGGTGCAAAATAAAAGACAAATTGTGTGATGTTGTAAATAGGTAGCTTTCCTGAATGGTCACTGGAGGAATCACCAGAAGACTGTTGATGAAGTAGAGGTGAAGCCTTTCCTCACTAATTGTATTCAGCGTGTAATTTCTAAACTTCCCTCTGAATTTTGATTTTCAATTAACACTCCCCATTTGAAGATAATTTTCTATTTAATGTAATTGCAGGAAATAATTTATTGGCTGATTAAGACTGAGGGCCCAGCCTTCCTTAAGAAAACATTCTAACAAACCAGCCTTTAAACTCAACCCAGCTTTGGACAGATTTAGTCTATTTTTACAGCTGCATGGTTGTGTTTAATTAGGATTGTGCACTATTGTTCATTGGTGCAGTTTATACTTGAAATTATTCTTAAGAGACTTTTCATTTTGGGTTTTGTGTCATGATTAATTTATACTAAAGCAACAATCACAGATACTGCTATTGGAAGGAGCCAAGTCACTTTATAATAGAGGATGTTTGTTGGGGAGCTAAAGTCACACTGAGTTTTGGCTTATGACTTTCAATTGTATTTAACTGTTTTAAAAGGCAGCAGTAAATTCATTCTTTTGTTTTTAATGTGAATGATTACATTATTGGTACTGTCATTATCTGAACTATGAAAACACTCTTGTTGTTTATGGTAAACTCTGGATAAATTTGCAGACCAGTTATAATTTGTCTGGCTTTACTGTAATATTTGCAGTGATCCCTGTACAATGAAAAACATCCTTTGGTATCACTTTCCATATGTGTATATGCATTTCTCCACGTGCTAGTTTTGATAGAAATTAGACAAGAATATACTTATCTGATTCTTTGATATAGTACTCTTTAGAACATTTATTTCTTTCTTCTCAAAGAAAATATAGACATTCTTCTGTACTTCCTTTCCCCCATTTTATTTTCTAGTATCAAGTCTAACAGATGAAATTTTATTATTTGTAGAATGATTATTATAAGTAGGTATCAGCATTTTAATATGTTTCAAAGCACTTCAAAAGCCTATAATACTTTTATTTAGAACTGTGCATAATTAGATTAGCTGATCTTATATTAATTTTTTTCACTGTAGGATACTAAATCTGAGCCCCCTCATTAATTGTGAGAAATTTAGCATTAGCTGTTAAATCCTATGTGAAATATGGGCTGCTACATAAAAACTACTGTTTAAATTGGAATTAACTTAATTATTTTTCTTTGCACTTGATATTTCCTTCACTGCAATATTCATGAAAGCATATGACAGATTTGTAAATTTAACTGTTAATCTCAGATTTCTAGACCCTTTAATCAGTATTTATTTGTCTGTAGAAACAGTACTAGCAAGTTAATGATTTGCTAATTTGAAAAATGCTCATGTGGTTTCCTATGTTAACTGATTTGTGCATTTTTAAAAAAATGGTATGAAATCAATTAATGTTAAAGAGCAATTAAGGTGGAGATTTTATTCCTTCGTTACACAGCAGTTTTAGAGCTAAAGATGCTATAAACTGAAAACAACAAAGTTTTAGAAAAAATACTCAACTGTCTTTTCTTTTAAGTTATAAACCTCTGGTGTTTTTATTTCTAAACATTTTGTTAAGAAAATCATATTGACAAAGCACAGAATGGAGATCTTGTGCAAAATGCAGTCGATGTTTACTTGTGGGTACATAGATGAGTGTTTGGTAATTGTTTTTGCAGTTTTAAAAATATGGTGTATAGTAGGCATTTTACTATTTTCACAGTAAATGCTTTGAATTTTGTATGTACTTTCTAATATAAAATAGAGGCATAGTTATTTCATATATTTAATTCAAATGTTACAAAATTGCCCTAAGACTAATCTAACATTATCAGCCACTTGATCAATATGTCACTTAAAAGTTAAGTTGCAGTAGTTGACACATTTTGAAAATCTTTAAAAAAAGATCAGATTGACACTAAACAATGTTAGGCCCTGGCACTCATAATACAAGGTATAAACTAAGAAGTCAAGACCAAATTTGGTTAGGACTTTCAACATGTATTATGTACTCTCCTGATTGTATTTTCTCACATAGACTTCTTTTGTTCCCACATAAAGCATGAGAGAAATTTGGATATTTCTACTTTAAAATCATCCTCCAAACTGGCTTATTTGTCAGTTCATTCACTTATTTATTTATTTTTTTTCCCATTGTTAGCCATCAACCTAATTTGATAATCTAGCTGGAAGAACTGGGAGGAAAAATACACACATACGTATACTATATGTTATGAAAACTTATTCCTCGGAAATGTCCTTTGTGGATTGTTAAGGAGGAAGATGTGTAGCAATTACTAGGAAGAGGTTTGTGGAGTTGAAAGCAGAGAGGGAGAGTAGAACAGATAAGCTAAGTTCTTTTTCAAAGTGGTTTAGAGTAGCTCATAAACAACCTGAAGTTAGAGAACGTACTTATTTTTTTTCTGAATTAGTCAAATGTAAGGGATAGTTTCTTCTTCTGTCATTGACAGCCTTTTTGAATCCATGTTCTTTCCCTCTTCTGCAGAAGAATGTCTTCCAAGCAAGCCACCTCTCCATTTGCCTGTGCAGCTGATGGAGAGGAAGCAATGACCCAAGATTTGACCTCAAGGGAAAAGGAAGAGGGCGGTGATCAACATGTGGCCTCCCATCTGCCTCTGCACCCCATAATGCACAACAAACCTCACTCTGAGGAGCTACCAACACTTGTCAGTACCATTCAACAAGATGCTGACTGGGACAGCGTTCTGTCGTCTCAGCAAAGAATGGTGAGCTTTTAAAATCTGGCCGCTGTCGCTAAGTGTGTCGGTTAGTGTGGCCTCATCACAAATAGGTGTTTTAGAAAAAGCTCAAAATACATATCTTAGAGTTATTTGTGTTTAGGTCGTGAAACAAGCACCACGTATATATTATTAATGTTATTAATATGCTAGTACCTGGGAAAAATTGGAAAATGGTTTGTGATTTAATTTTTGTCCATTATTAGGTCAACTTGCCAAAAGATATTTAATTTAATTCGGGGAGAGGTTTGGTTATCTTATTCTCTGAATCTCTCAATAAGGTGGTGAACTTGATAATGACACAAAATAAGTATGATCAAATAAAGTGTGGCTGTGTATTAACATTGAAATATATATTAAGCAAACATGTCTATGTGAATGAGGTCATATGGTGAACACATCTTCAGTGGGGAAATGCAGGTATTTATCATTTTTAATGGTCATTTTTGATTTATAATAAAGCTTTTCTCACTTATGTGCCTATATATTAATTTCAAAAGGACGTGCAAAGCTCCTGAGTATCATTCAATTAGACTGCAGGAGTTTTCCCTGAAGGTAGAGACATCAGATACATGCAGTATCTTAGGCAGCTTTCCCATGCAAAATTCTGTCTCTAACCATCAAAACAGAAGCCACAGTAAGAGGCATTGTCAATTTAAAGCAAAAATATCCAATTGTTTCGTATCTAGAACTGACCAAAACCTTGATGTATTTTATTAGATTAGGAATTGACAACCTGTTTTACGTTTCTTAACTTTTGGTTATGTTAATGAAAGACATTTTAAGTGGGCTGTGAGGAAAAGTTTTATTCTTTAATAAAAATAAGGTCATATTTAAAAACGCCTTTACTGCTGATAATTCTTGCTCTGTGCTTAATGTTTAATGTCAAAGACTTGATTCTATAAATTATGGAGGCAGACATTTTTCCTTTTCAGCTGATTTTGCAGACACAACTAACACTCTGCAGCAGTAGGTGAGAAGTAGGGGAAAGGAAGAAAAATAAGACTTTTCTAGACTAACTTTAGGTTCATGGGGCGTTGTCATTATACAGTTAGATCCATTGGAAGACTTATTTTCCTTGCATGGAGGGGAGAGGACAGTATAAAAAGGCAAGACTAAAAGTCTGTTTTTCTGATTGAACTGAATCATTTTTGGACCTCCAAGATAGCAAGGGTGAAATAGATACCCAGTCACTGCCACTGGCTTTTTGAGAAGATAGTAAGCCCATGTTTTATTTTTATTTCATCAAATGTTTATAGAGCACCTTCTCTGGGCTCAGTATGCTACTAGGTGCTGGCTGTATTGTGGTGAAAAAACATGCAAGATTATGCTTTCCTGGAACTTATATCTAGGAGAGGAGACAGAAATTAAATAAATACACATACATAAATATATAATTAAAATTGTGATATGTGTTAGGAAGAAAAAGAACAGAATGCTATGTGAGAAATAATGGGATAAACCTAATTTAGAACAGATGGATAGGAATGCCTTCTCTGACCTAAGGATGATAGGAACAAGCCAGGCAAAGAATAGAAGAAAGAGTAAAAGTAGCAGAGGGAACAGCATGTATGAAATATTTGAGGTGAGAAAAATATAGCCGAGTATCAGGAAATGAAAGATAGTCTTTGGGGTGCCAGTTCGTTAAGCATCTGACTCTTGGTTTCAGCTCAGGTCATGATCTTGGGGCTGTGAAATGGAGACCCGTGTCAGGCTTCAGGCTCAATGGGGAGCCTGCTTGGGATTCTCTCTCTTCCTCTCCCTCTGCCCCTCCCCTTGCTCTCTCTGAAATAAATAAATGTTAAAAAAAAAAAAAGATAGTTTTTGTGGCTGGAGTGTAACAAGTGAGGATGCAGTATAGCATCAGATCTGGTTGGAGAGAAAGGTAGGGGCTGTATCCAACAAGACCATATATTACGTTATGGAAGTGAGGTTTGATTCTAAGTGTAATGAAAAACCATTGAAGGGTTTTAGAACATTGCAGATAGATCACTCTGGCTATAGTATGAATAGATGGGAGGGAGACAAGAGTGAAAGGAGCAAGACCTGTTGGGAGCCTACTTCAGAAACCCGGGTAAGGGGCGCCTGTTGGGTCAGTCAGTTGGGTATCCATCTCTTGGTTTTGGCTCAGGTCAGGATCTCATGGGTTGTGGGATCGATTCCCCTGTCAGGCTCCGTGCTCAGCAGAGGGTCTGCTTGAGATTCTTCTTCTCCCTCTGCCCCTCCCCCCCTACTCATACATGCTCTCTCTCTCTTTCTCACACACTCTCTCTCAAATAAATAAATAGATCTTTAAAAAAATAAAAAAGAAATCCAAGTAAGAGATGGTAGTGGTTTGGGTTAGTGTAGAGGTAGATGGGATAGAGAGAAGGGATGGGTTCAAGATCTGTTTTGCCACTTATACCAAATATAGTCATGGACAAATAAAAATAGTGAAGCTGAAAATATAGGTTGAGGCATAAATAATACCCTTCAAATTTTACTTCTTTAGAGAACATGTTACTTATTTTCCTTAGTAAAATTTGTTTGGATTTTGGCAAGTGCCAATTTGCTTCAGTGAGTCATTCTCAAAGTTTTATGTTCTAAAATTTTGTCAGAAAATAGATATTAATAATTTGCTTACCAAACTTATATTAAGAGGGATTTATGGAAGAATAAAATAGTTTAAATTTACAAATATGTTATATATTAGTATAAAAGAAATCATATTTGCTGGAAATGTTTTCAAACTTTCACTCTCTTTTGATATCAAGCACTGCTTTCCACTGGAGCCTTTGTGTATTTTGAATGTCTGGAAGCCAAAATATTTTGTTTTAACTCCCACTCTATAGTATTTCCCAGCTGTGTACTTATATGGTATAATAAAAGGATTTAACAAATGGGAAATAGCAGCTGCCTTTGGAAATTCCCTTTGTGCTCCCTTTTCATTCGATAGATTCAATAATGTGTAACAACTGTAGCATCAGACCTGTAATGACTTACCCTGCAAGTATCATATCACCAGCCAATTTTTCTTTCCAGGGAAGAAAAACAATAGAAGGATTTTAGGTTTCTGGGCAGTCCTGCAAACCTACATATAGAGTGTGTTTTGTGTGTGCGTGCATATATGTGTGTGTGTTGGGGGGGGACTTTGACTAAAGTAAAATTTAATAAACATTTTACCTCATTCTACTTTCAAATAAATATGACATCCAAAAGTATTGTTATGAAGTTAAGTGAAACTTGGTAGTTCTCTTCAATGGATCATACTCATTACCCACTGTAATTGAACCCCATAAAATAGCTGTGGAGAAATAAAATGTAAAAGTAAAAAACAAGAACAAAAATTCTACCAGCAACTATTCAGTTTCCATTGTTATTTACTTTTTGTAATGGCCTTCACTCATGGACAGTTAGAAACAGGCACCAAAAGTTTCTTATCTACTGGGTTCAGGAAGGTTTTACTTTGAAATATCAAGACCACAGAAGAGCTTTACTGTAAGAGACAGTAAAGACAAAGCAGAGAAGTTCTGCTAATCCACACTTCCTGATTAGAAAAAAATCTTGAAATGTTGAAATTCTGATTATTTTGACGTGGTGTTCCAACAAACTATGAGACCACGCAGTTTCAAACAAAGAAAATAATTCGTTATGGCATAAAGCAAAGGAGAACAGAAATTTTAGAGATTGGCATTCAAAGGCCAATTTGAGATTAAGAAGTTTAGATTCTGGGGACGCCTGGGTGGCTCAGTCGTTAAGCGTCTGCCTTTGGCTCAGGTCATGATCCCAGGGTCCTGGGATCGAGCCCCGCATCGGGCTCCCTGCTCCGCCGGGAAGCCTGCTTCTCCCTCTCCCACTCTCCCTGCTTGTGTCCCCTCTCTCGCTGTCTCTCTCTGTCAAATAAATAAATAAAATCTTTAAAAAAAAAAAAGAAGTTTAGATTCTGATTTTAATTATAATTTCTTATGTTATAGATGCCAAAATGCTTGATTTCAAGCTTAGTGTGCTGTATTAATTGATAAATTCCATCTGAAGGCTCAAAAGTTAGTGTAAATAAAAATTCACCATCCTTGTTCATTACATACAACCACTACTATTTTCATTATGGTATGAGTGTACCAGTACTTTCTTTTTTTCCAGAGGAATATTGACACTGACTCCTGAAATGTGTTTTTGTTCTCATTAGGACTGATTCATTAGATAGGAATAAATTCACATAATTTTTTCATGGAAAAAATGTGTAGTGTATCATTCTTTTCAATGTTAACAAGGATGAAGGAATATTTTGTGGTTATATTTAGTGACCGGCAGTATGACACTGTGTGTAATGACTATTTGCTGAAGATTACTTGAGTCTATAGTGTCTACTAAGTTCTAGGTACAGGAACTTTCTTATGCATAAGACAGTAAGGAGCCCTGCTATCATAGAACTTAGATTCTAGTAGTATGACAGACAATAAAGAAGTTTCACAGAGTGAGCCAGTTTCAGACAATGATAAGTGGAATAAAGAAAATTAAATAAAATGTGATCAAGAACGACTAAACAGTCTGGAAGTGCTCTTTGAAGGGGTGGCTTTTGAGTTGAGGTTTGAGAGGGAACCAACTATGCGAAAATTGGGGGAAGACACCCAGCTAGAGTTTATAGTAAGGGCAACAGCCTTTTTGGTAGGTGTATTTGAATAACAGAAAACAACAGAGTGGCTGGAATGGAGTGGGTGAGGGAGAGAATGGTATGAGATGAAATCAAGGAGGCAAGCAGGTGACAGAGACTTTGGGGTATCGTGGGCTACAGTGAGGTGTTTGGACTTTACTTCGAGTGCAAGAGGAAGCCATTGGACGATTTTAAACAAGGGACTAACATGATTTGATTTATGTTTTTTGGCTGCTATGCAGCAAATGGGTTGTGGGAGATAACAGGAGAAACAAGGACACCTAGTAGGAAAACTATGGTAGTGGTACCAGTGAGAGTTTGATGCTATGGGGGGAAGAGTGAACAGTTAGTGAGGTTA